TTATTTTATTTCTAAAAGTCTATTTATTAGTAATATTTTCAAAATTTTATTGCTAAATATTTTATTTTTGATTTTTTAAGATTATATTTTAGCAATTATTCTCGCGATAATATAAATTAATTATAAAATATCTTTTATAATAAAATTTTTGTTTTTAAAGATAAAAAAATTTTATAGCTAAAATTCTTATATTTTATAATAATTGTGGCTAATTCAGTCCTAGGAATCACCAAAAGCCGACTATTCCACTCTTTTTTTTGACAATCCAATTTGAGGAGAATAGGAAATGAAAGGCTACGTAAGGTCCGTTTGGCAAGGAAAGTTGGGGTTAAAATAGTTATAAAAGATAAAATAAGTTATTTTAGTCATAACAAACAAAACATCACATCCAACCCATAATCATTATGAACAAATTCGAACTCAGCTCGGTAAGACCTCGTTCGAACTCGTTTCGTTAATTTTTTTTTGCGTTCGAGCTTGAGCTCGAGCTCGAGCTCGTTAAATTTTTAATAAACAAACCCAAGCATTCTAAAGCTCAACTCGTTAGCTGACTCGTTTAATATTTATTATTTATATATTAAATTATTAAAAAATATGTATAAAATAAAAGCAGAAAAACATGTTATTTATATATTAAAAAAATATAAATGTAAATAATAGTTAACTACAGATAGTATATTTATATAATAGTGATAGTAGATATTATTATTTTAATAAAATATGGACTATTTTTTAGTATGTTTATATATATTGTATATATAATTGTATAATCAAAGTTTTAATTGTAAGTTTAGTCACACTTGCAAATATGAATTTATAATTTTTTTGACTCGTTAAGGCTCGTGAACAGGTTTGAGCTCGAGTCGAGCCTAAGCCAACTCGATTCGAGCTTGGTTCGTTAAATTTTTATTCAACTCGAGCTCGAACTCGTTAAAATCTTAATAAACAACTCCAAATATACTAAAACTCGACTCGACTCGGCTCGGCTCGACTCATTTGTAACCCTAATTTTTAACAAATAACTCCAAATATATTAAAACTCGACTCGACTCGGCTCGACTCATTTACAACCCTAATCACACTTGAATACAAACATAACGCTTAATAAAGGAACATTTCATCTGCTATCCATGCCATCCACATCTTTACTAATATGATATTGTCCATATCTTTACTAATATCATATTGTTTAGTCATACTAGTTGTGTATATATATATTGATTGATTTTATGACAATTGATTGTTTAGTTTAATATGATATGATATGTAATTATGTCATATGGTATGTATAACTTATATATTTGATATTTAATTAGATATAATTTTTATAATATTTAAAATTCTTTTAGATGAGAAATTTAATTAATAATTTTATTATTAATAGGGTTATTTGAGATATTTTAAATAATTGTATTTTTTAACTTTTTATAAAAAGATGTACAGAAAAATAAAAAAAAATGATATAATTAAAAAAAAATAACAAGATAAAAAATGTGCTTATATAATACACCCACTTTTTCACTAAAGCCTTCCGTAACAAGATAACAAGATAAAAACCTTCCATTTTCATCAAATGATCCGGCCTTTCCCGGCTCTTTCACTATTCAGTAGTCCTTTCCAGCAATGGTCATTTTCGTGATCCATTGGATATTCTATGCAAGGCCAAAAATTGATACACATTAATTCTGCTCGATCCCATCCTTTGCTTCAAGACCGGTTCCTCGGTGTAGTCTCTTGCATGGCATGGCCTACTCACTTTCTTCTTTATTTTTTCCCGATTAATGTGCAACGATGAGGAGTCAATTGATTGTTTGATCAGCTTATATTGTGTTCTAATAAAGTGTTGGCTTGTTGGTATGGAGTGTGAGTAGATGAGAAACGCCCAACTAGTTTTTTTATTAATTGAAATAAAAAATCTTATTATTTTTGTGATGATTTTTAAAAGATAAAAAGACAAATAACATAATATAAATAGTATAAAATATTATTTCAAAATCACCCAATAATCTCTTTCCAAGGTGCATCACAAATTGAAAAGAATATGAAAAATGAAAATTAGAGTATTTCTATCAGTTTCCTTATAATAGCTTTTTGTTATTATAAGAGGTTGATTCATTTAAAATCCTTCTCCATCAGATCTCTTACAACTTTTTAAATTTAGGATTGCTACAGTAACTCCTTATTTGTAGAGAATCACTGTAACTTCCTTATATCTGACGGGAGTTGTTCAATCGAATGTTCTAAATGAGGCAAAACTTACTTCACTTGTCGTCCACCCGGACGTCTAGCCCCTAACTTTTGCTTCAATTGCTTCCTTCTGTTTTGGACTTTAGTTCATATTATTTAAGTTATATTGCTTATGCTGCTTTCTGTTGGAATGGTTATAAAATTCTGGATAAAACCAGAATTTTTTCCTAAGTTCGGTCTATTTTTTAGGTGGGCCCCGAGTGTCGATTTACTCGGGTCAAAGTGGTAACGCGTTCTATGCCGCGTTGTGATTCACGTGGTATATTTGGTTGCTCAAAACCATTACCGAGTGAATGGGAAATTAAAGCCAAAGTGTGCTCCATGGAAATAAAGTTTTGGTGGAAATTCCTTAAGGTGATAAATTGGCTTGTCCCACATTGATTTGGTGGGAAGTTTTGAAAGGGGTTATAAGGCTTAGGGGGAGATACTTGGGGTGTGCCCCAAGGGGTACCCAAGTGTTTTAGAGGGAGAGGTTATGGGATGAAGAGATCTATATGGAACAACCCGAAGGGTTTGTAGTATCAGGGCAAGAAAAGAAAGTTTGTCGACTTGTAGTCATTCTACCGTGTTGACTTTGGCCAAAGTCTTTTTATCTGGTATTTCTGTTGTGCCAGATTTCGCCTTAGCACGGGCGCCATCTTCTTCCACATGAATATGCTGGTGCACTCTCTTCATTAAGACCTCCATCGTGAGGGGTGGCATCATAGTAATTGAATCCCTCAATTTGTTGCCGACTGGCAGGCCCCCGTTTGTATTGTGCGATGGCGAGGTTTGTAGGACAATCTCCTATCTGGTTGAAAGTTTCCCAGTAACGACTGTTGTACGACCTCAATGTTTCTTTGTCGCCCATGTCAATGGAGAGTAGCTAATCGATCTCCACTGGCGTCTTGGTGTTCGTTCTAAACCTTGTCACGAATGCCTCTGCCAATTATGCCCAAGAGGCGATGCTGCCTTCTGGTAGCCTTTCGAACCAAGTTAGACCCAGGTCGCCTAGGCTGGACGAAAACAAGATGCACATTAAAGCCTCGTTTCGTCGGTATACTGCCATAACCTGGCGAAAGTGGCTCAAGTGCATGTAGGGTTCTGTCTTCCCCTCATAAGTGGTGAATTTGAACTGGTGAAAGCCCGAAGGTAGTGGTGCGTTCTCAATTGCTGGAACGAATGGCGAGGTCTGCAGCCTCGCTAATGCTTTGTCTGTTGGTTCGTAAGCAAGGTGCAGTATTGGCATTCCTACCTCGACGCTCCCATGTGTCCAAGGAGCCAACCGCTGAAGGGCTGAAACTCTGCGAGGGTCGCGCGCCCTAGTATCTTCCTTCCATCGTGCCCTTTCTTTTATCACAGTTCACAAATCGGATGATCCAGGCAACTCCGTCTGCCTGGAAGACGTCTGGTGTGTGCGTGAGGGCCGATAAGTGCTTCCCTCAGTATATGACCTCTCATTTCTCATTCTCTCACACCTGGAGTAACGAGTCCTGGGAGTTCTTGACTGAGTGTTGCCTGTTCTCAAGCTTCTACTCTCTGCTTGCGATGGTGTGGTATGCCTACCACGATCTTCCGAGTGGCGAGGGGGCGTGTTGCTTTTGCACCTCTCTCCTGTCGCCACCCCTTTTCCTTTGATCTGGCGCTTCATAGACTCCATGTTCGCCGCCATCTTCCTTATTAACTCGCCTTGTTCCTTTACTTGATCCTCCAGAATTTGAGGATCGATCCTCCGCCTCTATCATTCAGGACTTTGAGAGCGACGGGGGCTGTTAGCCCGCCTCCCCCTTGTATCCCTCTGGGGTTCTGTCGCTGGGGCTCTAAATCCGCCATGGGAGGGATAGAAAGCAAACCTTCGTGCCTCCCACCCCCCTCTGGGGTTTATCCGTCGATAGCGGACTGCGACAAATCTTCATTGTGTGCCATTACTTCCAATTAGAGAGAAAAAACTTGATCAAGAGGTTTTGTTCTTTCTGGTTTTTCCATAGATGGTGCAAATTGTACGGGGAAGAAATAATCTTCTCGTATAATCCTGTTGATCAAGTCTGCGCTCCTCTGTAAGTCGTCGCTTTACTCCCTGAAAACACAAACGTGAGCTAGCCGGTGGGTGTGTGCCAGATACCTCTCCGATGCCTAAGTCAGCAAAAATAGACAAATAGGCAAAAGCTCTATCTATTCGAGAATCAAATTTGTGTTACCTCTCCATAGGTGATGTTGTGAGCTTGTATAGGTTCTACGTGGCACAATCCTAGTAGGACTCTTATTCCTCCATGTAGAGTCCTCCTAGGAATCACATTCCTGAAAGATAATGCTTATCTTTTAACACACCCCTCACTGCTTAAACCAAGTGAGATGGTTTTACCTCGGTTAGTATGACAAAACGACCGAGCTAACATGGCCATGCTAAACTGGTAAAAATGACCGAATTCTAACTAGCTCGGCTCTCCCTTCCACAGCTTGTACCTCGGTTTCACCTGTTGAGACCGAGCTAACCATGGCAAGCTTGGGCCGAGCTAATCTAGAGCAAGGTTCTGAGGAAAGCTCAAAACATCTCGGCCCAAAATGGTATGACCGAGCTAATTGTTACCACTCTGACTGTGGTAACCGAGCTAACTTCAAGGCTCTTTTTAGATCGAGCTAACTGCAAGGCTCTTTGTTACTGCGGCCCACAGAACGGCCCAATTTACTTAGCTCGGCTCAATTTACTTATAAATTACCCTCTCAGAAACCAAATATTTTTTGGGTGTTGCTTGTTGGCCACCACCAGCACTAAATTAAGGCATGCACAAGAAGAATGATAAAAATGTAAATGGTGTGTATATCTTATAATGAGAAAAGACAACAACTGCTGCAAGTAACGCAACATCAAAAAAAGCACCATCTGCATCCAAACAGTATATGTCCTGCAAGAATAAAATAAATGTTGTCTTTGTCCAAGGAAGAAACAAATGAGCAGTGATTTCCAATTTTAATGACACCACAAGCTAAGAACATTATATGGTCAGTAACCACAATGTTGAAGGCCATCTATTATTGGATATACACAATTCCTATTGAAGAGCTCAAGATCAAAAGTCAAATAAAGAACATGTTTCAATTTATATAAACGAAATCGAGTTCTTGTCTTAGAAAACGTTACTAGGTAGGCCATCCAAGCAGCTTTCCCACCGACCAAGGATAGCTCCTTGAAGTTAATCATGCCAGAACTACAACCACTCAAATAGTTAGTCAGTTAAACACATACGTATTAAATAACTAACAAAGTGTTCCAAGTAAAGATCATTAAAAGTCTGTAATCATATGTGTTGAGAATATCATTGCAATAAACATCACATGCGCAGTGAGACAGTTCATGGAATTTCAATCCTTTATTTTGTTAGGTCCATTACAAGACTACATGACTGGTAGTATTTTGAAGTTTGAAGTCAATAGAATTTCCACCCATGCAAATGTGTAAGCTTTTTCCAAAAATACTCCTTATACCATAAGACAAATTCTCGTAAACAAGTTACAATAGGCGCGCACACAATCAAAATTTTGGAAGATAAATGACTAAATTGCATTTGACACATATATGTACACGCTACATAGCATACAAGATTCACAAAAGGAATATACTTTGAATGCTGAAGATGAATATCCTTTATGAGTGCATCCAAGGGCAAGATTGAAGCAAAACTAAAATACTATAAAAAATTCAATAATTAGCATATCTCATAATTTAGAAACTTCATAACAGAACAATATCACAACAATGAGATGGCTTTTTTTCCTTTTGTTTTCTTTCTCTATTTTTTTTTAAAAATTATTTGTTTTTAAAATTTTTAAGAGGATAGGAGTACACCAAAGAATAACATAGAAATAATCACGATGACATGCCTCAAGATAGTGTCACATAATTGTTTCGATATAACTGGTGCTACATTAGCTGGGTTGCCAGGCCTAACAATAGGAGAACAAATTGGAGGCATGTGGAAATCAATAACTGTAAACAACAAAAAATCATACATTGGCACCCATGTATAAATGTGAAAAGGGAACAAAAAGAAAAGAAAATATGCAGTTGATGGTTCTTAACTTATGCAGCCCTCATCTGGTGACTCTGTGGTAGGTGTCATGACTTCCATTTTAATGGCAGCCAACATGGTCCGCACAAAGACAAAAGACTTGAGAGTCCAACTTAGTAAATACAACACAAAAAACTAATATTTTCTTAGCTATATAAAAACACATTTAAAACCAGAATTTTATGTAAACAACTTTTCTCAACTCAAGTGTGACAACCCTCACTACTGTTTATTGATAACACCACTGATTACTGCTAAACTGAGACTGATCATGATAAGTAATTGAATTGGTTGAACTTCTGAGCTAATTGATTGAGTGTGTTAGTTTAAATGCATGTCTATCTGTTTGACTGTTAAATGATCTATTCATATGTTATGTTTTAAACTGCAAATTGAAGGCCTTATCGGCGGCCGAATCTGAAAATGATTAGTGTTATGTGTTGACCAGAATTTATGTGATTTTATGGTAGATCTAATTGAAATGTGATTTGGTAGATTAAATAAAGTTAAAATACATCAACTTGACTTAATTGCATTTTTGCCACTTAGTGGACAATCCCAGACCTACACTCCTTATACCTCATACATGTCGGTACAACGTTTCTTCAACCCATTTCTTAAGACAAAACCGATTGAGAGAGAGAGAGAGTAGGAGGATAGGCTTGAATTCATCAAACTTAACTTGGAGACTTGAAGAAATTGAAGGTTGATTGCATATTTGAGCTCTCATTCTTGTAATTGAGGAACCTAGGTATGGAATTTATCCTCTTAATTGTGAGTTAAGTTTGTTCTTGCATGGTTCTTGGAAGGTTAGAGTTTTAAAGTCAAGAATTGGTTTAAGATTGTTGAATTGAAGCTTATATCATACATGCATGTTCTTATATTGAAGTTTCGAGGTTATGTTCATGGAAATTGTTACATGCATGTTCATATTATAGTTCTAGTACATGATTTCACCATGTTTTTGGAAGTTTAGACTTAATTGAGCTTGCATTGAAGCTTTGAATTTGGTTGAGCACTTGCATGTCACATTTAAATTATGTTTTTGAACTTTGGACGAAAATTATGCTCAATTGAACTACCTTTGGGCTTTGATTTCTCAAATTGATCTTTGAAACATGCCATATTATGAGTTTACAAGTGTTTTCCAGAAAATTAGCCGAAAAGGATCGTTTTTGGTACATTTAAAGTTGATTTTGAGCTTGAAGGTTCAATCTGGAATTTCTAGAATTTGGACTCACGCTCGAGTGGGGAACTCCATGCTCGAGCGTACACACTGAATTCATGCAGTCCGCTCGAGCGGGGAAAGTGACGCTCGAGCGGGAAATGCGTGTATCTAGTATTTTACCGATGTTTACAGTCCGCTCGAGCGAGGAAATACACGCTCAAGCGAGGACTTGTGTCTCACGCTCGAGCGGGGATAGAGCATCCGTCGAGCGTGAATTGCATGCATCCAGTACTTTTGTATGATTTTACAGTCCGCTCAAGCGGGGGAAATCACGCTCGAGCGGAGCTCCTTTGTTCTGCATGTCCGCTCGAGCGTTGAAAGCCACGCTCGAGCGTGGACCCCTATTTCAGCAAATTTTGAAAAGTGTTTAAAAGTAAATCTTTGCATCCTCATTTCATCCTAGGCATTCCTAGGCCTAGTTTAAGGCATCTTAATGAGGATATTGTTGTAGGACCACACCGAGTCTAAGTAGGGACTACGTCTTCGATTCCCAAGTATGTGACTTAGTGTGTGTTCATCCTGTAACTGTGTAGGGTTGGCATCCGAGGACGTGCACTAGCTTACCTGTAGCCCAGAACTTTGTGAGTAACTATGTTGTAAAGATATGTTCAATTGAGATTATTTTCTGAATAAATGACTGTACTGCTTTATGAAATGACACTGTTTACTGAATGAATGTTTGTCCTACTTGTGAACTGTATTCGTAGTATCCATAGCAATTTACTGTTACTGCTACTGTTACAGAGATCTCTGTCAGTTCCCATGTTTGGAACCACTACTGTTTGCTGATATGATGGCTATCAACTGACTGTTCGGTCTGTTAAGACCTACTGTATTGTTTGCTATTGGATGTACCACTTATGACTGCTATAATTGAATAACTAATATACTGTTCAAATCACTATTTTAAATACTGAAAGGACATTCATTCTTAACCTCTTTACGCATATATTATTCACTGGGCTTTAGCTCATTGTTTATATATGTATGTAGGTGTCCAGGCACCGGACCGGAGCTAGGAGCATTGGGTCTAACTCCTTTTTTGTCAAGCCAACCACTGTACCTCACAGAGAGGTTCCAAGTCCTTCAAGCTAGGGCTTTTGGGGGTGTTTTAGATTCATCATTTCTGTCTCTGTCTGTGTATAGACCGACTGTACCTGCACTGTACTGTTCTAATAGGGATTAGGTCCCTGTCCTGAATGATTGGATATGTTTGTATATACTGTTTTGTTCTGAATGTGAATACGTATGAAAAGTCTTTTTGCATACAGACTGTCACTGCTCATTGGACATCTTTCATTACTGTTTTGGCTTCCGCCAACCCCTGTACTCTGTATTACTATTTTACTGTTAAGCAGGCCTTCGGTAATCACTGATTACTAGCCGGTTATGGTGCTAAACCCATATGGGCGGGTTTGGGTCGTAACATCAAGAAACCTCATTTGTCTTTTTTGTTTTGTTTGTGTAAGTAGGTGTTTGTAGGTAGATAAGTGAGTGGGTGTGAGAGCGTGAGAGATAAAGAGAATAGGCAAGTGCAGAAAGCACTTATAGTGCAACCTATCTTGGCTAAAGCTTGCCCATCAGCATAAACAACAGCTCCTACATTACAAACGGTTCAACTCAAGTAAGGACATGAACCTAGCAAACCCCAAATCAGAGGCAAAAAGTGCGAGTTTCAAATAAATAAAATACAAATGAACTAACCAAGAGCAAGTGTTGTATCTCTAGCTTTCCCAAGTTTCCTAGCATCAGGGTGAATGGATTCAAGTAGGTGACACTCATGAAAGCATAGAGGAAAGAGATGCCTAAAAGCATCCACCTCCATCTCTGATAACAAATCGCTAGAGGCATTCGCAAAACTCAATCCCTTTTGTTCTCTTTTCTGCCAACAAGACCTCAGATCTTCAAAATAGAAAGTAGAGACACAAATATGAGCAAATGGAGCACCTTATTAGTGTGTTTGCAGTTTAGCAACACAATGACCTGTTTGAAAAATATATTATAGCCACATAATTAAACCCCTTACAACAAAATTAAGGTGAGAAAAAATCATGTCAGAAGAACAACCTACTTAGATAAAACTTCACAAACAAAAGTCGAAAAAAATAAATAAAACAAAACAAGTTACATGACAATAGAAATATGATAACAAAGGCAAAAGGAATATTATTTATTTCTCAATCAATTAAGTAACCATCAAGAAGTTGAAAAAGGCAGAGTCAAGTACCCAGTCAGCAGCAACCCAGAACCGAACGACCTAATTCAGTTCTTGAATCAAATGAGAACCAAACTGACCAGAGAGTGTAATTAAGCCACAGATACAATATTTGGTAACACTAGTTTATTTTTGCTTTAATTGTTTGTCGTCCTTTGTTTTTATTATTACATAGTAAATTAATATGGATCCTAATGCAAATTTTGGTGAGTTTTTATCAATGTTGATGAATATACTAGTATTGCACCACAATACAATCACAATGTAACTTTGTAGTAATCAATTGATTCTCCTTCCTCTCTTATTGCATCATCATCATAATCTACGGGTTCTAGTATTTGCTAGTATTTTCAAAGAATAAATACAACTCTTCCTAGCAAAACCTAAATTGTGTACCGGAAGTCTTGGTGCAATTTCAAAAGGTCAAAAAATACAAATTATTAACTTTATATTATATATATATATATATATATATATATAATCTATGCCGAATGTAATATATAATATGTTCAATGTAGCTATAAAACAAAGAAAACCTATTCTGAAGGGGAAAAAAAAGGTTTTAATCACAAAATACATTTTCACAGAACATAGATCATTTTAATGGTGGATATTTGAGGCGTTTCGGTTTTAATTCTTCTATTATTTTCAACAAAAGCTTCTACAAAGACTATAGAGAGAGAGAGACCAATGATCCAACAACACCACTACCTTTGGTTCAAAATATATTTAGATTTCTATATATATGTGCAAAATCAATCAGGTAAGAGATTGACATGTCAATATATATATATATGCATACAATCGAATAAGGACGATGAAGCTGATTCAAACTGTCTGAGAGTGAGAGAGAAAACAATACTTGTTAATAGCTCGACCGCTTCGCCTTGGGAACCAGCCTATAAAATTGTGAATGGATCGGATTTGAATCGGATCTGCCAAAATCCAAATCCGACCCGATTAAGACAAACATGAATTTGACTTAAATCTGTTTAGGTCATATCCAAATATAAATCACCCCAAATCCAAATCCGATAATTTTCGATTTTTGATCCGATCCGATCCGATCCGATCCAATTCATTTATTTGTTTATTAAATTACAATTTTATATAATTTGATTTTTTTTTCATTTGTTTTTTTTTCCATTTAAATCGAGAATAATTGGTTTTTTGTATATTCAATCTATTTAATAAATGGATTAAACAGATTTGGATTGTCAAATTACGGGATTGAATTTTTTATAAATGAATTTAGATTTTAGAATCGGATTCAGGTCGAATTCAGATTAAATCTGATCTATTGATAGTCTTATTGGGAATGGCTACAATTGGGGTGGGTTTGAACGGATTGGACTCATCAAGGCCAGTCTGAGTTTTGAAGTAGTAAACCCAAACCAAACCCAGCCCTTAATAGCTGAGAAAAACCAAATCAAAATTCTTCTGAAAAAACTACAAAAGGAAAATTTTAATTTAGAGTGAAAAATATGAATAATGTTATACGTACTAATTGATATATTAATTATTGTATTAATTAGATGATATGACATCATTTTAAAAGTTTTGAATATTTATAATTAGTATAATCAATGGGATGGGGATTCGGAGAGTAAAGGAATTCACTGGGCAAAATGGGAGGTTCTAACACTTTCAAAATCTAAAGGAGGCTTGGGCTTTCGTGATTTTCATGATTTCAACTTAGCTCTTTTGGCCTGTCAAGGATGGTGGTTGCTTAAAAATCCCAATTCTTTTTGTGCTCGCATTTTGAAGGGTATTTATTACCCTAACACTGATTTTTTGCACGCCTCAAGCAGCCGAAGAGCATCTTGGGCCTGGGCTAGTTTAATGCAAGGAAGGAGTCTCTTAACTGAAGGCATCCGTTGGCAAGTTCATAATGGTTCATCCATTGCTATCTGGACTGATAAATGGGTCCCTGGGCTTCCTGGTTTTAAGATTGGCACAGTTCAACATTTGGGGTGTAACCTTCATAGGGTTGAGGATTTGATTAACAGTCGGAGAGAGTGGAACTTGCCTACTCTAAATCAAGTCTTATTGGCAGAAAAGGTATCTGCAATCAGGTCTATCCCTATTTCAGTGGAAGGGAGAGAAGATAATCTCATCTGGCACAATGAGGCAAAAGGAATTTTCTCTGTTAAATCGGGCTATCATTTAAAACTCCAACGACACTCTTTATTTTTCACTAGCTAAAGTACAAAAAAAAGTATACTCTTTATTTTACCTAATTACTTTAGTTATTGTGTTCTCCAACCACGCTCTTTATTTTAACTAATCATTTAAACTAACTTAATTAATTTTTAAAATAAAAAAATACTAATTGTTGATATTTTACTAATATAAATTTACAATAATAATAAGTTTGCCCATACAAACATACAAAACCTGCAGAATAAAGAGAAAAAAATATAAAATACAAAATAAGTTATTCCATAATTCATCAAATAGAATTAAAAGAACATAAAAAAATTGCTACATACACGCGCGCACACACACACACACACATATATATATATATATAAAATTTCAAATTCAAGACATAAATATACAAAAATCTAAAATATATACATACATAATTATTTAGAGAGCCTTTAGGATTCTTCAATTGTAGCCACCAAAAAAATAGGATGGTAAAGTAGCTAGCCCAATAATTAACCCATTGGAGCTCAAAATTAAATTTACATTGGGTAAAATACCTAATAAGCCTTGTTTAACTATCCCCTTAGAGATCCTCTAAGCAACTGTATGAACAATTAGGAATTGTAATTTAAAAGCCATAACTTTAATCAGCTTGTAACCTGAATGAAAAAGAAAAAAAATTATGATTCATTTGGGGAAGTGGATCAATTATTTAATAAAATATGAGAATTTTTTTGAAGTGCAAAATTTTATTTTATTTTATTTTTTTACACAAAAAGTTGGTCATATACTGATTTGTAATTTTTTTAATGAAAAATCTTTTGAATTTACATCAACAACCTCGACTGATTAGGATAGGTTTGAGAATTGATTTTTTTAGTATTTTTTGTTTTTTAAATTTCTTGGCTAAAATATAAGAAAACAAAATATAAATGCTTGTGAATTATTTTTTAATTTTTTATGAAAAAATATAAAAAAATAGAGAGAATAAAAAAAAATGTTTAATTTGTTTTTGGGTATGAATTGAGTTTTTTTTGACTTTTTAAATGGTCTTTATTATTATTATTATTTTTTTTAAATTTGATTAAAATATTATCCACCCGATCGAGACTTACAACCTAACCATAGTTTCCTTATCCAATGTAGGTAGCTGAGTTAGCTGTTGCTTTCAAATTTCAATTGCCGACTTGAACTTTCACTTCATTGGATATAGACGCAAAGGCAAGGGCCATGGTTTTCAAAGGTGATATTTAGCGAAACACTAACTGCACAACTCATGAAGTAAATATCATGAAAAATTTTATAAAATTAATTTAAAAGTGATTGTATAATATATAATAAAATATTATAAATTAATTTAAAAGCAAAAAATTTTCATAAAGACTTTTTATGATATTTTTTTTTATAACACCTACCATTATCGTTAGCGAAATTATATTTGAAATTATCAAATAATACATATTTAGAATTTGTGGTAGTAAGGTCAAGTTTGACAACTCAAAAATAATCCATCTTTTTATATTTTTATCTTTTTTTCATCATATCATCTCTCTATTTTTCTATACATTTTTTCATAAAAAGACAAAAAGTATACTTATTTAGATCATTCCAAACAACCCCTAAATTTTTCGAGGGAAATTGTACTATATGCACTTTAGTTATGATATTTATAATCTTTGATTATAACATATTATGATATTAGTTATGATTTATTATGATATTGATTATTACATTATTTTGATTATGACTCAATAAGTGTCATTTTGGGAACATGATAAAAAGTCACGTTTTTTGACAAGTGGCTGCCAAAAACGCCAGAAAAGCCATTTGGCAAGTGCCAAAAACGCAGTCGTAAAATTACAAATTAGGACCTATGAAAAAAAAATCTCTTACGTTGGGTAAGGGTATTTTGGTCATTTTAATTTGATTTGACACTATAAATAAATATTAAATCAAAAAGCAAAAAGTCAATTTTTTACCAACTTCCCAAATCACTTCCAAAAAAGCCAAAAAACTTAGTAAAAAGTCGAAAGTCAACTTTTTACCAACTTCCCCAAACAACACTAAATCTTTGGTTATATTTTGTGTTGTTTAGTTACTCCCTCCGTCCCAAAATAATGGTCTCTTTTGGGGAATCTAACTTTTTTTGGTAATACAATTATTGCATTTGAAAAAAGTTAATTTTCCAAAATTATCTTTTTGATAGTACGTTTTTTTTGAGAATATCAATGTGGTAATTGTACTTTTTATATTGTTTATTAATTTAAAAGAAGGGTAAAATAGGAAATTTGTATTATTTTTGTACTTGATTTTTGAAGAGGGACTAATATTTTAGGACAATGAAAAATGAAATAAGGGACTAATATTTTGAGACGGAGAGAGTATAATTTTTTTTATATTTTTAGTTAAGACCTGTATCATTAAGTTACGACATTTATGATAATCAAATTTCAAATATCATAACTTAGTGTTGGGCTTTCCCCCTTGGGCCTGTGGAGGCTGACTACGGATTTCGT